TTCTGGGTGATGGTCATTTCTTCTGGAGTACGATGGAATCTCAGAGTTGTTTAAATTTTCATTTCTCTAATGACCAGTGATGTTGAACATTTCTTCATGTACTTATTGGCTGCTTGTACTTCTTCTGAGAAGTGCCTATTCATTTTACTTGCCCACTTTTTACTGGGTCTTTTACTTTGGGGATTTAATTATTTGAATTCTTTATGTATTCGAAACATTAGCACTCCATTTAAGGCACAGTTGACAAAATTCTTTCCAATTCTGTAGCTTGTCTTTTCATTTGTTGGTTGTTTCTATTTCTGTGAAGAAGCTTTTTAATTTGATATGATCCCATTTGCTGATTCCTGATATTACTGTGTGCTCATCCAACTGATATTCTGTTGAGAAAGTCCTTGGCTAATCCTATGTCTCAAGAGTTTTACTGATTTTTATCTTCCAGCGGGTTAAATGTTTCTGTTTTAACATTTAGATCTTTGATTCATTTTTATTATACTTTAGAGATATGGGTCTAGATTCAATCTTTTGCATGTGGATATCCAGTTTTCCCAACACCATTTGTTAAAGAGGCTATATATCTTTCCTTCAATGTATGTTTTTGGCGTTTTTGTCACAGGATAGATAAATGTACTTGGAATTGTTTCTGCTTCCTCTATCCATTGATTCTCATGTCTGTGCCAGTACCATGCTGTTTTGCTTTTGTTACCCAGGATTGCATCTGCCCTACCCTCAGGCCCTGGAAATTACTGTTCTACCTTATGTTCCTACCGTTTTGTCTTTTCCAAATTGTCTCACAAATGGAATCCCAAAGATGACACCATAGAGTGTGCAGTCTGTGGATGTAGCTTCTTTCATTTAGCACTGGGAACCAACCACCCATGTCCCCAGCATCAGTAGCCTGTTTCTACTGCTGAATAGTATTTCATTGTGTGAATGCACTGTGATGTACTTATCCATTTGCCTATCGTGCCTTTGGGATTTTTCTCTCCTGGGTATTTTATTTTATGTTTTTATGATGCTGGAGACAAAACCCAGGGCCTTCACACTGAGCTACACCCATTCCTTTTAAAATTTCTTTCTTTTTAAATTTTGAGATAGGGTCTTGCAAAGTTGCAAAGTTGCAAAGTTGCCCAGGCTGATCTCAAACTTGTGATATTCCCACCTCAGCCTCCCAGAATGCTGGGATTAGTGGCCTGTCCCACCACTATTAGTTTCCCCTCTGATTTTTGGCAATTGCAAAGAAAGCTTCTGTAAACAGTCACAAACAGATTTTACATGGATGTTCCTTCATTTCTGCTGAATAAATAATCAGCATGGGATTTCTGTATCTGTGAGTTAAGGGTGTGTTTCACTTTGAGAGACTGACAAGCCATTTCTAAAGTGGCCACAACATTCTGCTTTCTCAGGTCAGTGTCCTGGAGTTTTAGCTGCTCTATGTTCTCCTATGCACTCACTGTGCCAGATTAAAAGGTTTCAGCCACTCTGAATAGGGACGTAGGCTGGACATATAAATTTGAGAGGTGTTGGTATGTGTGTATGCATGTGTCTCTCATACATACCTACTCTTGGCCTGATGAATCTGTGCAGAGTTGTATTAGCCAACTTCGTGTTACTACATTCATGTATCAGAGGCAGCTAACTTATAAAGAGTTAGCTCATGGTTTTGGAGGCCCAAGAACATGTTGCCTGAATCGACTCAGGCAAGGGCGACAGATCATGGTGGGAACACATATAGAAACAAGGTGGCCACATCTGAGACCAGAGCAGTAAGAGGAAGATACCAATCCCATAATCTCCTTCAAGGGCACAGCCCCAGTAATTCAAGGTCCTCCCACTGGGCCCCTCCTCCTGCAGGTTTCTCTTTCCCAAGAAACCCAAACTGCAGCATCAAGCAGAGCACATGCCCAGCAATCAGATACCCAAGCAAAGGACAGTAGGACTGGGCAGCCAGATAGATGGAGGGAAAGTAAAGAGACTGTGCTAAGTTCAAACTATAGAAAATCTTGGAAAACAGAAAGTGAACCACCAGTCAAATATTGCTAAGTGACTGCAGTTGACGGAGTGCATCCTGGTCACTGGGCTCAGAAGGATGGTGATGAGAGCCAGGTGAGAGAGCACTAAGAAGGACACTATCTTGGAGGGTGGAGCAGCATGCTCTGGGACAGGGTGGCAAGATCTGCAGCCTGCTTCTCCAGCTTCCTTCTTTATCCTCAGTATAGAAATCTAATTTTAATTGGTGTGGCAGTGTGCCCAGCTGAAAAGACTACATTTTCCAGCTCTCTGGAATGATTACACTTTAGACTGATGCTTGTTGAGTGGACTTCCAAGAAAACTCCTTAAAAAGGGAGAGGCAGATGGTTGGTAGGGATCCATTCTGCCTTTCTCCATCTCCTTCCTGAAGCAGGGACATTCTGCCCGCAGCCCAGCTGCTGTGAGGCATTCTTTAGTTAAGATGGCCTTAAGGATGCAAGCTAGCTCACAGGATGACAGAGAAGCAAGGCAGAGATGATTTAGATCCCAGACAGTTCTCTGGATCAGGCAAACCAGCTCAGACTGCCCACGTTGACTTCTGGTCCTCAAAGCCAGAGGTAGATAAATCCACTCCCTGCTGGACATCCTTCCTAAAATACAGATTGTGAGCCATAATACAAATACATCAGTTCTCCCAAATTTTAATTTAATCACCCAAATTAATAATAAAATAGCATGTTTTGAAGTTAAATTAAGCTGATCTTCTAATTCACATAGAAAAATAGACAAACAGGAAATTCCAAGAGATTAAGTATCAGTGGGTGAAAGGTATCATTATATTTTGAAGCTATAATAAATAGAACAGTGTGGTACTAGGGGAAGACAGCAAGGCTTGACAAGGAGGAAATCAAGAGTGCTCTCATAAGAAGCAGGGTGAAGGGTGGGGAGTGGGAAAAGCTTTTGGGTTCACTGAAGGGGCAGCAGCACTGAGTCTGGCCCTCCAACATAGAGGAGGCAGGATGGGGAAGGCCTGGCCAGAGGACAGGAGAGCACACTAGGGGTGTGTGTGTGTGTGTGTGTGTGTGTGTGTGTGTGTGTGAGATCATGTGGGGTGGGAGAGGCCAAGGTGGTAATGGGAATGGCCAGCATTCATTAATCTCTCCCCAGATGGTGAATACTGTAGCAGGGCTTTCCTATCTTCCTCTGAGAAAAGCTACAGCCTCCTTCAGCTTTTCTGTTGTCAGAAATATTTATGGTCCTGAGCTTGTGCTTTCCATAATGTGCCTTTGGGCTGTTCCTCTATTAGGCCAGCTAGGGGCTATTCCAAGGCCTTGGCCTCCTGTTCTTTTCCTTTGAATAAAATTCCTAGAGTCATGGATTCATTTGTTTCTCCATGCATCAAGAGAAAAACGAGTCTGTGTGTGTGTGTGTGTGTGTGTGTGTGATGGAAAGGGTAATAAGTAGATTTTGCTCTGGAGAAACTACCAGTCTAGTTGGTGGGGCCAGTTACCTTTCTATGGTTTGAGTGTGTCCCCAAAAGCTCATGGTTAGAGACTAAACTCCCAGTGCAGCAGTGTGGAGAGATGGGATCTTTCAAATGGACAAGGCCATCAGGACTTTGCCTCATGAATGGGCTAAAGCTGCATGGCAAGAAGGGATTCCTAATTAAAGAAAGAGTGTGGCCCCTCTCCCCTCCCTCCCCACTCCACATCCACACACTCCTGTGTTCTCTTGCCCTTCCTCCTCTGTCATGGGATGACACTGTAAGAAGGCCCTTGACCTGCTCTTCTGGAGTCCAGAACTGTAGAAAAGAAGTTACTTTATAAATTATCTGATCTCAGATATTCTGTTACAGCATCATGAAACATACCCAGGCACACTTGTGTGGATAATTTGTAACCCAGAATGGGAAATGGTGAGCCCCAGTGGCCCACTGCAGTGCTCCTAGCCTGCAGGGCAGCAGAGATCATTTCATCACTGCCTTCCTTCCTACAAGGGGCCCAAGATGTTCCCTCTTTCTCAGGGTCAAGAAGAACATGTGGCCAGAGATGGTCCTTGATGCACAGCCCAGGAGCCACTGCCAAGCTATTGGGTCTCTCCTACAGGGACTTCTAGACTGCCGTTAGCGTGGCTGATTGGCCAGCCATGCCTTGGGCTGCTTTCTTCACCTCATGGCCAGTGCACTCACTGCTTCCCAAGCAGATGCAGCCCCATCACACCTTGGTGCTCTGGAGCTAGGTATGAAGATGCTTCCTGTCTTCTCCCTTGCTCAGAGCTCTAGTGCTGCCCCTCTTTGTTGGGTGTTTTGTATCTTGCATGATGGCAATATCTACAGGCCACTGTTGCTGCCATCCAAGTCATCTCTTTGAGCTTTATCCTGTGCTTGTGGAGGCTAGGAGTGCAGTCCATGCTTCTTAGGCACTTGGTCGTATCTGTAAGTGCTCCCTAGCTAACTAACGGGCTGGAGGTGAGAGTACAGACAAACATCACCAGAACCGAGTCTCCAACGTTTGGAGTCTGCGCCGCTCAGGTACATATAGAAGAGCCACTTTTATCACCCTGGGAGGCCACCCTTGATGCAGGCTCCCTTTTCTCCTGCTGGCAATCCCCAGTCTCTGCTTGAAAGCTTGAGTGACAGATTTCTCACCATTTCCTGGGGAAGCACATTCTAATTTCAACGTGAGAACGTGCCTCCTTGTAATGACTCAATATCCGTCTTTCTTAATCTTTTGCCAACTGGTTTGTGTTCTGTCTTCTGAAATCTCACAGAAAAAAATAAACCCTATCCCCACAACCTCCACGAAACCCAGTGGAAGAATTTACAGAGCGGATGCTCTCTGTCTCCAGGCGTGGTGATCATACCACACCCCGTCTGTTCTGATTTTGTCTCTGTGCAGGTGTCTTCCCACCCCTCCACCACTTCCTTTCTTGGGAGCAGCCAGTATTGGGGATGGAAGGGAGAAAAGTCTGCAGGTGGCCTGGAAGACCTTTGATCAGGAACCCCACCCCCCTCAGGCTGATTTAGGACTCACCTTTCCCTCTGCTGAGGACAAGAGATGCATCTCATTCTGCACAGTCTCTGAGAGACCACACCCACGTTCTCCAGACAGCAGCTCATTGAAAACGAAGTGAGCCAAGCAGGCTGTGCCAAGCATATGGTGCCTCCTTCATCCCTTCTGGCATGAGTCCCTTCAGGCGGAGGAAAGGAGGTTGGCACCCTGCTGTGGTGGTCTGCAGCTCCCACTTAGCTCTGTCTGAAAAGAAACACAGTGCCCACAGGTTGGGGAGTAAGACAGGGGCCCAAGCACATTCAGAAAAACCAGAAAGACCCTTCTCTGCCTTGCTTCCCAGGGTAGCGTCCAGGCTGCAGGCCATACAGGGGCCTTGAGAAGTAGGAAAGAAGGTGCTGGCAGGCAGGGGGCTTTGAGAAGGCGGTCTTTCCAGGAGCCATTGTGCTCTTTCCCACACACTTACTGCTCCTCTGAGCTGTCAGCCAGCTCCCTGCCTGCTCTCTGTTTATGCCAACCCTCACCCTACTCCAGGAGAGATGCTGCCCAGGGGCTGTTGCATATTCACATTAAGAGAACACCATAGCAACCCAAAGGCAGCAGAAATACTTCCGGGCAGGTGCTCCAAGCAATAGCACTCCCTCTGGGATGTGTGTGAGCCATGGAGGCAGAACCACAGAGCTCAGGCAGGGCCTGTGAGGTCTGCCCTATGGGGCAACCTACTTGCATAAAACTGAGGGCACTGACCAACCCAAAACCAACATTGTAGATGGATTTGGGTGCATTAACTCAGTCCTGAATGAGGGAGGGATGTACAATGATGTCAAAGTCTCAGGGCCCTGCTTTAGAAGACCCAGACTGTTTCTGGGGTCTACAACTAGGAGGGTACTATTTTAGTCTGTTTCTCTGCTATAACAGGATATACAGGCAAGCCAATTTATAAAGGAAAAAGAATTATTTATCGCAGTTCTGGAGGATGAGAAGTCCAAGGTCAGGGTGCCAACACCTGGTATAGTCATCTTGCACTATAGCATGGCAGAGAAACAGCAAGCATGGTAGCTCAGGCCACCCCTCCCTTTCTTACAGAGCCAATAACCTACCCCAGGGGTCCCAGACATGTGACCTCATCTAATCCAGGTCACCTCCAAAGCCCACACCTCCAGATACCACACATGCCAATTTGGGATTAGGTTTCTCCCATGTGAACTTTTGGAGGGGACATTCAAACCATGGCGAGTGGCAGTGCTCAGTTGCAAGAGTGCAAGCATGCTTTGGATTTCTGAGAAGGACACTGGGACACCAGGTGGCATCAGCTCTGGAAGTAGCTTTCCAGTTTGGGATGGGTGACACTGCTTGCTGAATACACATCATGCTTTGGAGCCCAGAGGCGTGGGGCTCTGATTTCACTGTGTCACAGAAAATGTGGGAGCTGAGGTCATGAGCTCTAAAGTCAGGCTGCTTTGGGCCTGCACCCCATTGCTTCAACTTCTCCTGCGACCATCAGTGAGGTGGAGGATAAGTACCTGCCACACAGTCCATAAGAAGTGGACCCTGGGATGTTTCAGAGAGCTTGTCCCTTACTAGTGGTCTGGTTTTGGATAAGGTCACTCTGCTCTCTGTGCTTATTTTCCTTTTAAAAATAGAGGCAAGACTGGGACCTGCATTATGGAGCAGTTGAGAGGATTAAGCGACATAATATGGGAAGGGGGCTTAGAACCCTGCCAAATCTATCATCTGTATTTGATAGATGTTAGTAATGATGAACAACTTGAAGGGTGTGGGAGGGTTAAACAATATGTGTGTAATGCAAGTGTCTGTGCCAGCACAAGTGGGCTGCCAGTAAGAATTAGTAATAACAGTACTATTGTTTTCCATGACTTCAACTCCCCACCTGGAAAATGGGAAGACTGTCTTCTACACCTTTCGGTCTTTCAAACGTAAATGTACACATGACTTTGGAGAGAAGAATCCCAGCAATACAAGACATTAGCACAAATATACAATGTGTGCTCCACAAAATCAGCAATGATTCTCCCAAATCTTTGAAAATAAGACACAGACTTTACTCTGCTTCCATCAGAGCAGCCAGACAGAAGGTGAGGGAGATGGTTCTCATCCTGTTGAGAGTACACTGCCATCTGGAAAGAATGAAACTTTAATTAAGAACAAAGAAGAACAGGCAGAGGGTTAGCCTAGAGTCCCCATGGAGGGGGTGGCGGGGCTCCTGTGCTTTGGGAATGGCAGGACACGGAACCCTCTTTCTTCTCAGACAGCAGAGGGCTCTTGGGGTGATGTGGCCTGACAGCCATCCAGTGGTGCCCAGAACTTCCTGTAGTAACTTCGTTGAGCAGCATCTGATCCTCCTGGGTGCTTCAGTGTCAGGATGGGGAATCTATAGCAGCAGTTTCTAAGCATGGTCCCTGGAGCAGTGGTATCAGTATCACCTGAGGCTGGGTACACGGTCATACAGAGAAGACTCAGCTGAGACAGGGCTAGTATCCTCTCTACCAGACCTCAAGGAGATCCTGATAAATGCTTGCATTTGAGAACTATTGGTCAATAGCAAAAGATGGTGGAGGACATCTTCTGATGGGGTGATGTCCAGGTCTGCCTTCCTGCATTTCAGTGTGCAAACCAGCTTGTGTTTTGGCACTAGATAAACCTGAGTTTAAATGGAAGCTTAAATTCTGGCTGTGTGATTTGGGGAAGCTTGGAGCCTCCATTGTGTTATCCCCAAAAGGGACACCTACCCCGAAGGCCATAGTAGGGACTGGAAGTGAGTGTGAATGTGAAATGTGAAATGCTAGGCCCATGTTCTTGTTACCAAATGGGAAAAATGATGAAGAAGCATTCTACCAACTCCACCTTTTCTTCCCCTCTCCCCAGAAATTGGCCGGGTGCCTTGTCCATAATAGGCAGTTGCTATATAAATAAAATTAACATGAAGCATCCTCAGCATTTGCCATCTGCAGCTCATTCTGATGTGAATGTCCCTTGTCTTCCGCACCTACTCCCACAGACACTGAGCACAGTGAGAAGCTGGGATAGTTGTACAGAATGCACTTGAACAAAACAGAACAACTCCAAAGGCATAGCAGCTTTCCTACACCATCACATTCCATACCCTAATGCAGATTTTCCTAGGAGCATCCAACATGCCTTTAAACATTTCTTCCTACCCAACTAGCTGGTCTTCACTGCAGCCAAATGCCAAACTATCCAACGAGCAACCACACCTCCAACGTGCACTCACTCATATGCACACAGGCTGACATATGTGCACACAATCTCATGTGTATGCACACATACTCATACACACACTTGTGCACACACTCACGCATACAGGAGAAACCATCTGTTCTGTCTCTGGTCCAGGAAAGGTGGGTGGCTTTCCCTTGCTGTGGGTGATGGTCCACCCATGTCAGTTAGAGCTATATGTGGCCTTCACAGGAGTTGTCTGTCTTCTTGCTTGTGGAGAGAGGAAACCCATCGAGGTGATTTGCTGCTCCAGGGGGAGCACTTAACTCTAGCACTCTGCTCTGAACAGAAGCCAAAGCTCTGTCTACAAGAAGAGACAAAGGCATTTTTATTTCTGCTTTCAGCTTCACACTGGGTGCAAAATACCAAGTGGACAAAAGACTATCAATACATGCCAAGCCGTGAGGAGAGTGAAGCTCACTTAGCTGCCTTGACATCGATTTTCACCTGCTTTTGTTGATGAACCTGCATCGGTAAGTAGTGATAAATCCATTAGACAAACATGGCACTCCATTATTCACAGTGTCTACCTCAGCCTGGCATGGTATGGGAGGCTTGCCTGGAGGCTGGGGAACCTGGTCAAACTAGGGGTGAGACTGGCTGGTCACTGGAGGGAGGGGGACCTTGGATGCCTTGTGACCCACATTGCATTACTGGGTATTGCCAGGCAACACCATTCTGAGCTCTGATTCCCACCTGTTCCTGAAAGTTTATAAATGACTGTTAGAGAGACAGCAGAACAGAGTATATTTTTTTATACTTCCTTCCTCAGAGCTACGCAGGCTGGAACACTCCCCGCTACTACACACACACACACACACACACACACACACACACACACACACCATCTATATACAGAAAGCTAAATTCAGAGGTATAAAGTGACTTGCTTGGGGCCTCACAAAAGCAGCAGAACCCAGAACTCCAAAAGAAGTAGAACCCAGCAGCCTGGTTTCCAACCCAGCTCCAGTGGAATCTGCATGTTATGGGGTCTCTTCTCCTGTTCTTGTACCATGAGGACAATATTAGTCTTGGGGCATGAATTGGAACAGAGCCCTGTTGAAAAGCCTGTTGGACCTAGCAGGTATCAAAAGGCAGGATTTGGAGTTCCTCTGATCTGGCAAGGTGCAGAGGCCTGGGCATGGGGCATGGTGGTGTGGGTAGGAATCTCTGGAAGGTGGTGCTGGGCTCTGGCAGAGAGTGGCACCTCAGGGTGATGCCACATGGCATGGCTGGGAAGAGCCAGTGCTTCCAGGGCTGGTCTGGGTGAGCAGTTGCTTGGTGTCAGGCTGCTCAGGGGCTGACTCTGTACCACCTGGCCATAGATGGACCTGAGCTTAGGAGTGTTAGGAGTCTGTTGAGTCCTCAAAGCAATCCATAGCAGAATTAAAACTTGAATTATGCTTTGTCCCACTGCCACTGTCTACTAACCATTGTGCCCAAGGTTGGCAGAGGGAGAAGGGAGCTAGAAGGAAGGGGTGACTGCCAGTCTGGTTAGGTGATTTTATTCTCCCCACATGGGTACCTGGCAGAAGGATCAGAAGACTGAGCAGGCTGCTGAAATCTTCCTTCATTCCTCAGAAGCAAGGGCAGGAGCTGGACTTGGAGAGAGGAGGCACAGGAGGCTGGGAAAGCCACTCTTGCTGTGCAGGCCTTCATCTTCAGAAAGCCTCCTTTCCTCCCTTCACATCCAGACTGCTTGTGCACAACACTAACTTAAGCCTTCCGTAGGGTCCTGTCTCCTTAGCTGCAGGGTTAGTCTTTGAGGCAAGAGTTGAAGCTGCTCCTGGATTTGTTGTCTCTCCAGGTGGAGCTTCTGCTTCAATACCAGTGGCTGACTTCTTATCTTGGTGGTGTTTGAACAGGCAGCCAAGACCTGCCCTTCAGGAGCTGCAAACAGTTACTCAGCAGAAGACGGCAGCAGTGGGTGTAACATCATGGTCTGGTGGCAGTACAGACTATTCTCTCTGAGAGAGTTCCTGGTGGTG